TAGTAGTAATTTTGTCTCCTGTAAAGTGATCAGAGTAACAAAGAATTGACTTATTTTTTTATAGAATAAATGGATAATTTAATATCATGTCATCTATCTCACTGCAGCATTAAACAACTTAACAACTTAACTTAACAACTAACTTAACTTGCTCAGTTTGTTTCACTTAACAAGCACCCTGCAACTGTTCAGTGTCCTGTGTTTTTCAGGGAGCTTCATGGGGCAGTGGCGGTGCAAAGTGGCTGAGCTTTCTTGCCACAGATTGAGCCTTTTCAGGTTTCTCAACCCCTTTGTGCTGGGCCAGGGTGCGTGTTGTCTCTGTTTTGTGCTGTTGGAGTTCTGCACATATGGACGCAGCCTCAGCCCTGAGCAACACACCGGACACAATGTCCTTCCTAAAGGTATATTCTTTCTTGCCTTTCCTTGCTGTCACCACATACCCTCCTGCACCTTTGGCATACTGCTGTTTGACCTGCTCCTGGCCTTTCTTTGTTTTTGCAGTGGCTCTGTATTATTAAATTGTGTACTGTTTAAAAAAAAAGTGTTGAGGCACTCACTGAAATTATTTGGCTTTTGTATTGATAACTCTAATTAAATTAGGATCACTACGCATTTTTGTTTGCATAAACATTTATCAGCAAAATAACATCCATGACATAATCATGGTTAAAGCAGGGAATTTTTTACTGTGCTTATAATGGCACCATAATCATATGCGATTGTTGTGATAGTTCAAATTTGATATGGTACTTCTAACCATCAGAAATGTTATCATGGTAATCACTAAACTGATTATTGTTTCATCCCAACCTGTGTGAATGCGCTTTGTCGTCTTCTCTAGCTTTTGCAGAAGTGCCTTGTCAAGAACAATCTTCTGCAGGTGTTCAAAGGCAGCAGAGTTTGGACAAAGCCAGGGCCGCAGGCTCTCCTCTTCTGGAGTATATGAATGATACTCACATCGGGTCATCATTTCACCACATGTCCAGTTGTGGACATTGGTGATGTGGTGAAGGATGGATGTCCACTTCTCCTTGAGCCTGGCTGCGCTTCCTTCACAGGTGCTCGCACAATACCACAGGTAGTTTGTGATCATTTTTGTCCACTCATATAGCTCCTCATTGTGGGTCGCCAGTATTTTTTTCTGCAGATTCTTGACAATGTGCAACAGGTCATATTCAAGCTGCACTTGTTTGTGTTTCTCTCGCAGGACCTTCTGCACAGACTGGTGGCAGTCAGTGGCAATAAGAGAGACCTGCACACCACACTCTGCAAGCTTGGACAGACACTTTTCCAGACCCTCAACCTCCAGCCAGTAGCTGCTCTTGACCTCTGTGACCTTGACAGTCTCCTGTGCCACCACCAAGTTTGATTTGGTATCCAGAACTGTGTAAGTGCCAAATGTTGCATTGTGGCCAGGGCTGTCATATTGACCATCTCCAGAGACAAGAAGTGGCTGATCTTGTAATGCAGCCAGCACAGCCTCATTGTGTTTTGTCCACAAATCATTTATCTTGGGGATGACGTAGGCCTTCTGAATGTTAAACTATTCTCTGCTTGAAATGGTTTGCAGATCATTGGCTTCACAGATCTCCAGAAATGGAGTGCTCTCATTGCCAGTGGCTAAGGTAGCGGCTGGGATACAGAGGTTACACTCCATCATTCCTCTCACAAGAGGCTGAGAGTTGAAGACATAGTCATAACCGTCGATACATTCTGTTTTGATCTGTATTCCAAATCCACATTTTTTTTTAAAGTTGGTGGCTGGACAATACACTTGCCACAACCTTCCCAGTGGCACACACTGAAGAGCTTTAAAACTTCTTTGTGTGACATGATGCTCATTTCCTTCACTGAGACCTGATTTCCACATCACTCATGCTGTTGACATCACTCAATCTGAACTCGTCATCCTCATCATATTCATCCAGTCCCTCCTCCATGCTGCAAGCCTCAGACCCCTCCATTTCTTCAACACTCAACTTGGTTTCTTCGTCACTCAACTCAGTTGGTGGTGGTAGTGATGGAGGAATGCAGTCTACTGTTTTGCTGTAATGATGATCATGGATAATGTAGCTGCTGAATAGGACGTTGTCTGTCACTGTGCCTGTATTGCTGTACTCTTTAGTAATTGCAATTTCTTCATCAGTCTGTTATTCTGAGCCTCCTCCTGTTGCTGCTGCTCCTCCTCCTCCTCAACACGGATCATCTCTCTCTCCCTGTCTGTCATGCTACTGCTGTTTACCAGACAAGTGACTTTTTGCCTGAACTATCACAACAAAAGACAAATATATTTAATATAATAATGCCTTCTTCTTTTTTTTCCCATTTTTCACATCTTAAGGTTGATCAATCACAACATGCTGAATGGGTTGGGCAAAGACAATGACCACAGAGGGAGAGCTGCAAGGTAGAGACTGTGGCAGACAACCTTCTCCCAGAATGACCCAGCTGAACCCTCCAATCCTCATCCGTTGGTCTCCACTGTTTCACAGAGTAGGAGTTGTCTCTGATTTGTGCTGCTGGTGACTTATAACTATGGTTTCATCAAAGTCAAAATTGAGTCAGACTATGTGTGAGTAAACGGTTTTGATGCACACCTGTGAGCCAATCACAGAAAAGAGTATTCACCCAGACCATGACATAAGATGATGTTAATTCAATGCATAGAGAGAGTTAATTGTTTTTTGGTGTTTAACAAACTGAATGGTTCATCACTCTGCTACCATCAAGCTTGTAAGCCTATTGCTGGGCATGATTTTGTAAATGTTTTCCAATTTTCTTTTTCCAAGTAGGATCACAACATTATCTGAAATACACTTTATGGCTTCGAGAAAGTGTGCAGACTTTACCTCCTGCCTCTCACCACCTTGATGTTCTAAGTGTTTGGAATTATATTAATTGCATGCTGTTTTTTTTTAAAAGATACTTAAAATGTAGTTTAGAAAACTTATTTAGGAAATATAATGTTTTATTATTATTAAAATGTTATTCTTGTAAAACTGCACTTCAAGATGTCATCTCAGTTTTCTTTAAGTAGCATAATTATATCAACCTCCTTTGTTAAACTGTTTACAATGGTGAAAAAAGACATGATGGGTACAGCCTGGGTTTTAATTGGCTTGATGAAAGAACATGGATTGGACTCGCTTATTAATTTTGATTTGACAGGTAGTTCTGTAATACAGTGCCCTCCAAAAGTATTGTAACAGTGAGTCCAATTCATTTACTTTTGTTGTAGACTGAAAACATTTGGGTTTGACATCAAAAGATGAATATGAGACAAGAGATCAACATTTCAGCTTTTATTTCCAGGTATTTACATCTGGATCTGATACACAACTTAGAAGATAGCATTATTTGTAATGGAACACAAAATTTTTAGGTGAGCAAAAGTATTGGAACATATAAACTTAAAATAGATTAAAGTGAATGAGACTTAATATTTAGTTGCAAATCCTTTGCTTTCAATAACTGCATCAAGCCTGTGACCCATTGACATCACCAAACTTTTGCATTCTTCTTTTGTGATGCTTTTCCAGGCTTTCACCGCAGCCTCTTTCAGTTGTTGTTTGTTTTGGGGGGTTACTCCCTTCAGTCTCCTCTTCAGCAGGTAAAATGCATGCTCTATTGGGTTTAAGTCTGGAGACTGACTTGGCCAGTCTAAAACCTTCCACTTCTTGCCCCTGATGAACTCCTTTGTTGTTTTGGCAGTGTGTTTTGGGTCGTTATCTTGCTGCATGATGAAGGATCTCCCAATCAGTTTGGTTGCATCTTTCTTTAAATTAGCAGACAAAATGTTTCTGTAGACTTCTGAGTTCATTTTGCTGCTGCCATCATGTGTTACATCATCAATGAAGATGAAAGAGCCCGTCCCAGAAGAAGCCATGCAAGCCCAAGCCATGACATTCCCTCCACCGTGTTTCACAGATGAGCTTGTATGTTTGGGATCATGAGCAGATCCTTTCTTTCTCCAAACTTTCGCCTTTCCATCACTTTGGAAAAAGTTAATCTTTGTCTCATCAGTCCATAAAACTTTTTCCCAGAATTTTTGAGGCTCATCTCTGTACCTTTTGGCAAATTCCAGCCTGGCCTTCCTATTCTTCTTGCTAATGAGTGGTTTGCATCTTCTGGTGTAGCCTCTGTACTTTTGTTCATGAAGTCTTCTGCGAACAGTAGATTGTGATACCTTCACTCCTGCCCTCTGGAGGTTGTTGCTGATGTCACTAACAGTTGTTTTAGGGTCTTTCTTTACAGCTCTCACAATGTTTCTGTCATCAACTGCTGATGTTTTCCTTGGTCTACCTGTTCGACGTCTGTTGCTTAGTACACCAGTGGTTTCTTTCTTCTTCAGGACATTCCAAATGGTTGTACTGGCTATGGCCAATGTTTGTACGATGGCTCTGATTGATTGTCCATCTTCTCTCAGATTCACAATTGCTTCTTTTTCACCCATAGACAGCTCTCTGGTTTTCATGTTGGTTCCACCTCTAAATGCAGTCTGCACAGGCAAAACCTATCGTACCCAATCTGAAACTGAGCTCAGACATTCAGTGCTATTTATTATTTGAATAATCAATGTAAATGGGAGACACCTGGGCAACAAAACACACCTGTCAGTCACATGTTCCAATACTTTTGCTCTCATGAAAAATGGGTGGGTTCAAACAAAAGGTGCTATCTTCTAAGTTGTGTATCAGATCCAGATGTAAATACCTGGAAATAAAAGCTGAAATGTTGATCTCTTGTCCCATATTCATCTTTTGATGTCAAACCCAAATATTTTCAGTCTACAACAAAAATAAAGGAATTGGCCTCACTGTTCCAATACTTTTGGAGGGCACTGTATATAAATATGGTGAGATATGCTAGTGCATTTATGGTATAAAATAATGCACAAAAGACTTTATCCTTAAATTAAACAAGTTCCTCTCTTTCCTGTCTAACATTATTGGACAAACCAATAAATCAATATGACCACAATTCAGTCAGACAACTCAGGATTGAAATCAATATCTTTATTGTGCATAATTATTTTGTATACAGCAATAATTTTATCATGACTGAAGCAAGTTTTGTGGCCCCTGCTGGTGATCATAGAAACAGAGCCCCAGGTGGATGCTGGGGAGGTGGTGGGATTGAAAATCTTCATAGGCAGCACACAACAGCAGCAGAGTAGCCAGGAATGATCATCTTCCTCGCAATGATCAGGTAAGCAGGGGGGTTTAAATACCCCGGCACAATCGGATGATGAGGAGAGCGTGTGGCTGATCAGCTGATGAGGACTTGGCGCAGCTCAAATTGTCTACCTGACCTAGCTCCGCAAGCTTCGCTTTATCAGTCTTAGCAACAATGATCAGGATTTCTTGGATTAATCAAGTTATACAAATAGTGTAGGCTACATGGAGGAGAGGTGCTAGTGGAAATGGGCACAAATTATATTGTCAGTTGTGGTCACTTAGGACACCGGGCCGCACGTAAGTAACTAATATTATTGCCATGTTATTATCAGTCTGAAAGATGTTTTATTTTGAAAAATTACCGGACACTCTCCCAATTACACCTGTCTCTGTTCCGGTTTTGTTTGGACCCCAAAGCAGATACTGATGCAGGTAAGTAACAGAAAAAGGTTTATTAATAACACGAAAAAACAAAAGAGCAGGCAGTGGAGGCAGGGAGCTGGCTGGCTCGTACAATATTCACCGAAGGATGGATTGAAAAAACTCAGGCACACGGTGAGGCACAAAGGACGACCTGAGCACAACAGGAAAAAAACCACAGGTAAGTTTTCAGTGTAGTAGCGCAGAGACTAGCTAGCTACTTAGAAAGGAATAGCTTAATAGATACCATGGTGCAGAAGGCAGGAATACCAGGTTTTTCAGGGTGTTTAGAGCATACTAGCATGATCTGGCACCAGATTCAGGCAGCGAAGAATAACAAAAGGGACCTACATGTAATATTTTTAGATCTTGCAAATGCGTTTGGTTCAGTACTGCACAGCCTCATTTGGAGTGCGTTTGACTACTTCAGAGTGCCACAGGTAGTTGTTAACTTAGTGAAAGCATATTTTCAGGATATTAGGTTGTGTCTAAGTACAGCAGGTTTCACAACAGGTTGGCAGAGGCTAGAAATAGGCATCATGGCAGGGTGTACAATTTCTCCATTAGCATTTACTATGGCAATGGAAGTAATCATCAGGGCTTCTAAGTGGGTGGTAGGTGG